AACATGTATTCCATTCTATTTCTTAGTGTGAATACCCTCCTGAAAGCTCCATGGTCAGCTCCTGCAGTCAGACAGGACCTCTGTGGGGAAGCACATATAGAAGCACGTACAGCGCTGCCATAGTGTGGGTGGTGTGAGGTCAGGGGCTGCTGGCCTAGTGCTCCAAGGGTGGTATTTGTGTTCCCTGAAGTAGGGGGCTTGGTTTGGCCCGGCATTTCTCCGGTGAAGAACAGCTGATCTGATGATTGTGAAGAGGTCTGCTGCATCAGAGATAAAGGTGTTTTCTTGTACTGGAGTTCATTATTTTTATTTTTATTAGAAAAAATTTTAATTGAAGTATAGTTGATTTACAATGTTGTGTTAGTTTCAGGTGTGCAGCAAAGTGATTCAGATATACCTATACTTTTCCAGATTCTTTCCCATTATAGGTTTTTACAAGATACTGAATATAGTTTCCTGTGCTATACAGTAGGTGCTTGTTGTTTATCTATTTTATATATAGTAATGTGTATCTGTTAACCCCAGACTCCTAATTTTCCTCTCCCCCACTTTCCCCTTTGGTAACCATAAGTTTGTTTTCCATGTCTGTAAGTCTGTTTCTGTTTTGTAAATAAATTCATTTGTATCATTTTTTTTAGATTCCACATATAAGCGATGTCATATGATATTTGTCTTTCTCTGTATGACTTACTTCACTTAGTAAGATAATCTCTAGGTCCATCCATTTGCTGCAAGTGGCATTATTTCATTCTTTAAAAAATTTATTCATTTATTTATTTTTAAATATTTATTTTGGCTGTGCCGGGTCTTACTTGTGGCATGCCGGATCTTTGTTACAGCATGTGCACTCTTTAGTTGCAGCATGAATGTGGGATCTAGTTCACTGACCAGGGATTGAACCCAGGCCCCCTGCGTTGGGAGCATGGAGTCTTACCCACTGGACCACCAGGGAAGTCCCATTATTTCATTCTTTTCATGGCTGAGTAATATTCCATTGTATGTGTACACCACATCTTTTACCCATTCATCTGTTGATTGACACTTAGGTTACTTCCATGTCTTGGCTATTGTGAATACTGCTGCTATGAACATAGGGGTGCATGTATCTTTTTGAATTACAGTCTTCTCTGGATATATGCCCAGGAGTGGGATTGCAAGATCATATGGTAATTCCATTCTTAGTTTTTTTAAGAAACCTCCATACTGTTCTACATAGTGTCTTGGAGTTCATTCTTAACTCCGTTTGTTTCATCCTATTTTACATGCTACAGCTTATAACCCTTTACAACAATACAAAGCAAACATTTTAAAGCTGTTAGATACTAGGAAGATATGGCCCAGCATCTTTGTTTTTAAAACTTTTTGTTTTGAAATGGTTTAAAACTTAACAGGAAAGTTGAAAATATAGTGTAAGGAATTCCTGTATACCCTTCATGCAGATTCTTCAGTTATAACATTTTAATACATTTTGCCAATTTTCTCTCTCTGTCTCTGTCTCTTTTTCTCATACATACATAAATTATTTTCTGAGCCATTTGAGAGTAAGTCAGAGCTATGCTACTTTAATACTTCCGTACATATTTCCTAAAAATAAGGAAATTCTTCTATGTAATTATAGTACAATTCTCAAAATTAGGAAAATTACCATGTAATCAAAAGATTCTATTCAAGTTTTGCCAACTGTCCCAGTAATGTCCCTTATAGTTCCAGGATGGAACCCAGGATCATACATTTGTTGTCATATCTCTTTAGTCCCCCTTTAATCTGGAACAGTTCCTCAGACCTGTTTTTCATGGCCTTCACATTTTGAGCAGTATAGGATGTGCCTCAATTCTGTTTTTTTTTTAAAAATATTAATTATTTAATTTGGCTGCGCCAAGTCTTAGTTGTGGCACGCGGGATCTTCGTTGCTGCGTGCGGGATCTCCGTTGCGGTGTGTGAACTCTTAGTTGCAGTATGTTAACTCTTAGTTGCAGCATGTGAACTCTTAGTTGCAGCATGTGGGATCTAGTTCCCCGACCAGGGATCAAACCCAGGCCCCCTGCATTGGGAGCATGGAGTCTCAGTCACTGGACCATCAGGGAAGTCCCCAGCTTTGGTCTGTTTATTATAAACTTACATAAATGAAATCACTCAGTAAACATTTTATCAAACACATACTTCTATGTTGATATATATAGATTTTTATTTTAATGGTTGCATAATATTCTACTGTATGAAAGGGCTATATTTAACCAATCCCCTGATAAAGGACATTTAGTTTATTTCTAGTTTTCCATAGTATAAGCCACATTACAATTAGTAGCTCTGAGCAATTTATCTGATTTATCTGAAGTGGAATTTCTGGGTTAAAGCATGCAAATTTAAAAATTTGATGCTATTGCCAGATTGCCACCCAGAAAGATTATACTTAGCATAATTCCACCAATGATGCACGAAAATGCCTATTCTCCACACCAGCATTAGCACTGGACATTTTCATTTTAATCTTGGCCAATCATGGACACCCCCATTTCTCTGAATATTAACAACGCTGAGCGTATTTCATGCTTATTTTGCCTATTTCAATTTCTTTTATGAATTACCTTTGCCCATATTTCTTTTGAGCAGTTTCTAACGTTTAAACTGATTTGTCAACTCATTCCTTGGCATTTAAGTCTTAAAAGAAAGACATATTATATATTCATTTTAGAGCTTTGTTTGAATCTTTGTTAAAACGATCCTAAGTTCTTACATAAAATCCAGTTTCCTGAGAAAACATATCAAGAGTTAGCCACAACAAGGTAACTCAACACTGTAGGCCAACTCGGCCCCGCTTAGCTCTCTGGTCCTGAGCTTCAGATATAGGAGGTGGGTAAAGTGTGAGAAGCAATAAGAGCAGATAACATTTAAGAACACCCAGGATGTATTTCTCTCCATTCAATGTATCTAGTTAAACCTTTCAGGATAGTTCTGGGTCAAGACAGAGCAGTTCCTCACTAACCTACTCTAAAGTTCTTATTTCATTCCTTCCTCCAAAAATATTTTAAATGGATGAATAATAGACACATAATAAACGTTGAACTGAAGATAGGTCTTAATTATTCAGCCTTAAGTGCTGTTAAAAACCATCATTTATATTAGGTAAGAGCATTCAGTTTTCAATTTAAGTCTTACCGTAGCTTGGCAAGGGAAACTTGAAGCTGGGAAATAGGACTTCAGCTAATGGAGGCTTCTTCCTTTCTCCTTAATTGCAAAACTTACAGAAATAGGAGCAAAGAATCTGTATATGTCTATGTGCACTTATATATGGTGCAAAGCTCAAATCTCAACTGATACAATCAAATGTGTCCACGAGGAAATGTGTAGTGTTTACTATATCTGGAGGGAAGAGTTCTAGGTCAGAAAAGTAAATTAGAAACAAATACATTCAATTCTCAATTTTAAATAAATCAAATTCATCAGTCAACCAATTACAGCCAACCATTACTAAAAGCCAAGTATAATCGTGCTCTGGCAGATATAAGACAAATATAACATGATCTTGAAGAACATACAACCTAGTAGAGGAACAAGACAGACAAACCTGAAACACTGAGGCACCAACCCTGAGAATGCTAAGCAGAATGCATATTATAATTGGGGCAGCATTTCAGAGAAGGGCAAAATCACTGCTCATAGTAAAGGGGAGTTGAGGGTGTTAGGGTAGTTAGAAAGGCTCTGTGGGGAAGTGGGATTTGAGTTGGGCCTGGATGGATGGTAGGATTTGCATAGGTGGAGGGCAGACCATGGATATTGGGACCCAGGGAACAGAGGCATAGAGGTGGCAGTGGGCAAGCTGCTGAGTGGAAGAAGCCTGATAAGCAAATGTGCATGTTGAGCAGTGCTGAGGACATGTGACTGCCCCAGCAGATGCTGCGGCCGCAGGGCGTCCCTGGGGAGCATCCTGGGGAACTGGCATGGTGTAGTGTTCTAGCCCACGCCACGCTGTACTAGAGTCTGAGGCAAAAGTAAAACGCAGTACTATCGATTCTGTCCTTATGTAAAATTTTGATATTTTGTTCATCATGGATTTTTTTTTTTTGCTGTTAATTTTGATTTTTAAAAATATTGCATTAAAATATTATTTATTTTGATTACTGTGATTTGGGGCATCCCCTTAAATTTTGTGCCCCAGGCAAGTGCCTTACTTGCCTCCCCCTCATCCCGGCCCTGTGTTCTATTTCTGAAGTTTGAGGGTGGGGACATGGGTAATTATTTTATTATTTTAAATTACAGCTTACTCATATTACAAATAAGCTTTGGTTAGTGGACAGTATTTAATAAAAAAAATTAATATAAAGAAATTAGAACTTTAAGGAGATTAATAATTTGGAACTTTGGACCCCAAAAAGCATGACAGGGAAAAGAGCCCTTTGTGTTCCTGAGTCAGGCTCTAGGGTAGAGTAACTAACTCCCTGTTGCTGCAGTGAATACACTGCAAGCAGAAAAGTTTGTCTTGTCCAGGTCTAAGTGGGTAAAAGATAACTGGGGTGGCGGGGGCACCAGAAGCTGCTGTCCACTTGGAGACAGGCCTTGAGCAGCTCAGCTGCTGGAGCCCAAGTGGCTCTGCCACATGGACTGAGACAAGCTTCCACAAGGTGGGTGGACTTGGCCCACTTCTCACATAAAACAAACCCATCCAGCTGTGCTCAAAGAGAAGCTGCCCACCGGGCCAGAGTGCATACCACAGGTCATGGCCCAAGGAGCAATGCGAGATCTGTGAACGCTATAAATGTCTCTGGGCCACTTGCATGTAGGAGAAGAGGGGGTGTGTGACACAAAGATTATTATTAGCACATCTAAAAATGTAACATCTGAAAAATCTGAAAGCTATTGTTTGTTAGTAAACTGGTAACTTATGAAAGATGACTTTGAGCCAGAGAAGTCAATAGCATGCAGCACAAATCGCAAAAAAAGGCCCGTGGAAAGGCAGAAAGGTGCAGCTGCTCCCAGCACTTGTCACTAGGTGCACTGCTCTGTCACTGGATTTGGACCTTCCAGTCAGCACCAATGTTCAGTGAGAACTTCTCCAGGGTCAGGGTGGATGTTTTCGCACAATATGTAAAAGCCACAGGCTGAGCTTTACCATCTAGATATCAAAATTGTAAAAGGGAAAGTTTGATGAACATCTAGGAGAGAAATTTTGAATTTACAATGTTTCTAACTCTGTTATAAAGCCTTATGCCCCATATAGGAGAATCCAAATTAATAGCACTTGTACCCATGGACTTCCATGAAATTTTAAAATATGAAACACTCCACTGTTTTGAGTGCAAGACTGATTGAAAACAAACTAAGGAACAAAGTGATTTGTCCAACAAATTCAGTAGGTAAAAAAGGATATATCCTATCCCATGTCCTTTAAGAAACTCCATAAACTCCATGAGCAGGATCCCCCAGGACTTCAGATATCTACAGTTTTAAAAAAATATTCAGAGAAGTTACCATATTACTTCAAGTCCCAAATAATTTCCTTCAGGAAAATATTAACTGCTTACAACGAGCAGAAAGACCAGTTGATGAAGAGAAGCAGGATGGCGTCATGCCCTCTAGATACTAGTATATTTGACTCCTGCCAGAAAGAGCAGAGTCCACTTGGCTAAGCACATTATGTCAGTTTTAGACTAATCATCTCTTCACTGAAGATACCTCTATGTTTACAAAAACAAATAGCCTGTTTCCTCACCAGGTGAGTGGCTGGTCACAGAAGATGGCTGCTTCTTGAGGCCTAGGACCAAGATCTGCTCCACCACACACTTGCTGGGATAATGACCCCTCTTGTCAGCACAACTGGAATAGATACAACAAATGGCATTAGGAGAAGGAGAGGAATAGGGGTTTGGACTGGTTACCAGGTCACCATCCCGAGCCTTGTGAGTTCCCCTCCCATCTTTCTCTGTGGAGGCATGAAACATATAGTGGTCACATTTACTAGGATGAAGAGATGGAAAAAGATGACCCTATGTGCCGAGGACAAGCTAACCGGTAGTCTCCCTCTAACAAGCCATTGGGAGAGGCATCACTTAAGGATACTGAAGTCCCAAATATTACTTGGATGCTACAGTCAAATTGTAAGAAATCAGATACTTAATGAATGGCTGAAGAGATGAATAAATTGGATTAATGGGAATTTATACTGAATTCTTTTTTATTTTTCAGAGAGGGAAGGAAAGGAAGACAGAGACAATAAGGAAAGGATGTTCATGAAGTGGTTGAAAAATACTCCTGGGGGGCTCCAGACCAAGATGGCAACATTAGAGGCTCCTGAATTTCCCTCCTCCCACAGATGCACTGAATATAAAGCTACACATGGAGCAATTCCCTTTAAGAGAAATCCGGAAACTAGCTGAGTGACTCCTAAGAAAATACCCACATCAAAACAAGTAGGAGGGACTTTCCTGGTGGTCCAGTGGGTAAGACTCCATGCTCCCAATGCAGGTGGCCCAGGATCGATCCCTGGCCAGGGAACTAGATCCCACATGCATGCTGCAACTAAGAAGTTGGCATGCCACAACTAAGACCCGGCACAGCCAAAATAAACTATAAATAAATAAAAATAAGTTAAAAACAAAAAAACCAAAACAAACAAAACAAGTAGGAGAGCAGAAGCAAGAAGAACTACAATTCTGCAGCCTGTGGAACGAAAACCGCATTCACAGAAAGAGAGACAAAAATGAAAAGGCAGAGGACTATGTACCAGATGAAGGAACAAGATAAAACCCCAGAAAACCAGCTACATGCAGTGGAGATAGGCAACTTCCCAAAAAAAGAATTCAGAATAATGATAGTGAAGATGATCCAGGACCTCGGAAAAAGAATAGAAGCAAAGATCGAGAAGATGCAAGAAATGTGTAACAAAGACCTGGAAGAAATAAAGAACAAACACCTAGAAGAATTAAAGAACAAACACCTAGGGCTTCCCTGGTGGCGCAGTGGTTGAGAGTCCGCCTGCCGATGCAGGGGACACGGGTTCGTGCCCCGGTCCGGGAAGATCCCACATGCCGTGGAGCAGCTGGGCCCGGGAGCCATGGCCGCTGAGCCTGCGTGTCCCGGAGCCTGTGCTCCACAATGGGAGAGGCCACAACAGTGAGAGGCCCGCGTACCGCAGAACTAGAAGAATGAAAGAACAAACAAACAGAGATGAACAATACAATAACTGAAATGAAAAATTACACTAGAAGAATCAATAGCAGAATAACTGAGGCCAAAGAACAGATAAGTGACCTGGAAGACAGAATGGTGGAATTCACTGCCATGGAACAGAATAAAGAATGAAAAGAAATGAAGACAGCTTAAGAGACCTCTGGGACAACATTAAATGCACCAACATTTGCATTATAGTAGACCCAGAAGGAGAAGAGAAAGGACCTGAGAAAATATTTGAAGAGATTATAGTCGAAAACTTCCCTAAGATGGGAAAGGAAATAGCCACCCAAGTCCAGGAAGTGCAGAGAATCCCAGGCAGGATAAACCCAAGGAGAAACACTTCAAGACACATAGTAATCAAATTGACAAAAGTTAAAGTCAAAGAAAAGTTATTAAAAGCAGCAAGGGAAAAATGACAACATACAGGGGGACTCCCATAAGGTTAACAACTGATTTCCCAGCAGAAACTCTACATGCCAGAAGGGAGTGGCATGATATATTTAAAGTGATGAAAGGGAATAAACTACAACCAAGATTACTCTACCCGGCAAGGATCTCATTCAGATTCGACAGAGAAATCAAAAGATTTACAGAAAAGCAAAAGCTAAGGGAATTCAGCACCACCGAACCAGCTTTACAACAAATGCTAAAGGAACTTCTCTAGGCAGGAAACACAAATGCTAAAGGAACTTTACAACAATAAATGCTAAAGGAACAAATGCTAAAGGAACTTCTTCTCTAAGTGGGAAACACAAGAGAAGAAAAGGACCTACAAAAACAAACCCAAAACAATTAAGAAAATGGTAATAGGAACATACATATCGGTGATTACCTTAAATGTGAATGAATTAAAGGCTCCAACCAAAAGACACAGGCTCGCTGAATGGATACAAAAACAAGACCCATATATATGCTGTCTACAAGAGACCAACTTCAGACCTAGGTACACATACAGACTGAAAGTGAGGGGATGGAAAAACATATTCCATGCAAATGGAAATCAAAAGAAAGCTGGAGTAGCAATACTCATATCAGATAAAATAGACTTTAAAATAATGTTACAAGAGACAAGGAAGGACACTACATAATGATCAAGGGATCAGTCCAAGAAGAAGATATAGCAATTATAAATATATATGCACCCAACACAGGAGTACCTCAATACATAAGGCAGATGCTAATAGCTGTAAAAGAGGAAATCGACAGTAACACAATAATAGTGGGGGACTTTAACACCTCACTTACCCAATGGACATACCATCCAGATGGAAAATTAATATGGAAACCCAAGCTTTAAATGACACAATAGACCAGATAGATTTAATTGATATTTATAAGACATTCCATCCAAAAACAGATTACACTTTCTTCTCAAGTGCACACGGAACATCCTCCAGGATAGATCACATCTTGGGTCACAAATCAAGCGTCGGTAAATTTAAGAAAACTGAAATCAGGCATGTTTGCCAAACCACAATGCTATGAGATTAGAAGTTAATTACAGGGAAAAAAATGTAAAAAACACAAACACATGGAGGCTAAACAATACGTTACTAAATAACCAAGAGATCTCTGAAAAAATCAAAGAGGAAATCAAAAAATACCTAGAGACAAATGACAATGAAAACACGATGATCCAAAACCTATGGGATGGAGTAAAAGCAGTTCTAAGAGGGAAGTTTATAGCAATACAATCCTACCTCAAGAAACAAGAAAAATCTCAAATAAACAATCTAACCTTACACGTATAGGAACTAGAGAAAGAAAAACAAACAAAACCCAAAGTTAGTCTAAGGAAAAAAATCATAAAGATCAGAGCAGAAATAAATGAAATAGAAACAAAGAAAACAGTAGCAAAGATCAATAAAACTAAAAGCTGGTTCTTTGAGAAGATAAAATTGATAAACCTTTAGCCAGACTCATCAAGAAAAAGAGGGAGAGGACTCAAATCAATAAAATTAGAAATGAAAAAGGAGAAGTTAAAACGGACACTGCAGAAATACAAAGCATCATAAAAGACTATTACAAGTTGGGCTTCCCTGGTGGCGCAGTGGTTGAGAGCCCGCCTGCCGATGCAGGGGACGCGGGTTCGTGCCCCGGTCCGGGAAGAATGGACAAATTCTTAGAAAGGTATAACCTACCAAGACTGAACCAGGAAGAAATAGAAAATATGAACAGAACAAATCACAAGTAATGAAATTGAAACTGTGATTAAAAATCTTCCAACAAACAAAAGTCCAGGACCAGATGGCTTCACAGGTGAATTCTACCAAACATTTAGAGAAGAGCTAACACCCATCCTTCTCAAACTCTTCCAAAAAACTGCAGAGGAAGGAACACTCCCAAACTCATTCTGGTGAGGCCACCATCACCCTGATACCAAAACCAAACAGATACTACAAAAAAATAAAATTACAGACCAATATCACTGATGAATATAGATGCAAAAATCCTCAACAAAATACCAGCAAACAGAATCCAACAACACATTAAAAGGATCATACACCACGATCAAGTGGGATTTATTCCAGGGATGCAAGGATTCTTCAATATACGCAAATCAATCAATGTGATACACCATATTCACAAACTGAAGAATAAAAACCGTATGATCATCTCAATAGATGCAGAAAAAGCTTTTGACAAAATTCAACACCCATTTTTAATAAAAACTCTCCAGAAAGTTGGCATAGAGGGAACCTACCCCAACATAAGAAAGGCCATATATGAAAAAAAAAAAAAAGTAGGAAAGGCTGAGACACACTCTCCATATAACCCCCACCCCTGGCATAGTCCCATACAATTGGGAAGGAATCCCCAACTCCTGGCTTCTCCAGGAAGAGAGAAGGGTTTGGACCACACGTCTAGTGTCCCTCCTTTCAAGGCTCCCACCTGAGGGATGGCCCTCAAATCACCCAGCTCTGATAGCCAATGGGCTTAATCATAGCAAATAAAGAAGCAGTTGTTAATAGGCAGTGTGGCTATCCCCCCAGGGCTCAGTGCAGAAGGAGCAGGCAAAAACATCCATCTCACAGGTTCTCCCTGGAAGGGATTTGACTGCATACTTTCCCAGCTACTGCCTGAGTGTTCTAATCAGCCTGCAACTAGGTGCTGACTAAAATCTGCCCCTTTGGGACACGAATGGGTCTCAGCACATCCTCAACAACTGTGAGTCACTAAGAACAAAGATGGCAGCTTGGATAATCACAAAGGTCTGAGAAACAACAAGGAGCTCAGGCCCAGCTGATCGACGAGGTTCATCTCCTACATGAGACCAGTCTGTCAAGACTGAAAGAGGTGGCTGTCTTATCTAATGTGAGAAACCAACACAAAGAGCCAAGGAAAATGAAACAGAGGAATATGTTCCAAACAAAAGAACACGATTAATCTACAGAAACTGACCTCAACAAAATGGAGGTAAGTTATTTACCTGATCAAAAGTTCAAACTAGTGGTCATAACGATGCTCACCAAGGTCACAGAGCAATGCATGAACAAAGTGAGAATTTCAACGAAGACAGAAAATATTAAAAAGTACCAAACAAAATATAGACCTGAAGAATACAAGAAGTGAACTGAAAAATTCAATAAATACTGCATGGTGTCACTTATATATGGAACGTAAAAAAATTTTCAAAAAAGGAAAGTTGAACTCATAGAAAAAGAGAGTAGAATGGGGGTTGCTAGGGGCTGGGGGGTAGGGGAAGTAGAGAGAGGCTGGTAAAAGAGTACAAACTTTCAGCTATAAGATGAATAAGGTTTGAGAATCTAATGTATAACATGGTAAATATAGTTGATAATACTGTATTGCATAACTGAAATTTGCCAAGAGAGTAGAACTTAAGTGTTCTCATCAAAAGGGGAAAAAAAGGGTTAAACATGTGAGGTGATGGATGTGTTAATTAACTTGATGACGGGAATACTTTCACAGTGCGTACATATATCAAATCATCACATTGTATACTTTAAATATATTACAATTGTATGTTTATACTAGTATATTTTATTAAAATTTTATTTCGAAATTATACCTTTATGACCTAGAGATTATCATACTGAGTGCAGTGAGTCACAGAAAGAAATATCGTATGATATCCCGTATATGCAGAATCTAAAAAGAAATGATACAAATGAACTTATTTACAAAACAGAAAAAGACTCACAAACTTAGAGAATGAACTTACGGTTACCGGGGGGAAGGGATAGTTAGGCAGTTTGAGATCGACATGTACACACTGCCATATTTAAAATGGATAAGCAACAAGGACATACTGTATAGCACAGGGAAATCTGCTCAATGTTATGTGGCAGCCTAGATGGGAGGGGAGTTTGGGGGAGAATGGATACATGTGTATGTATGGCTGAGTTGCTTTGCTGTGCACCTGAAACTAGCACAGCACTGTTAATCAGCTATTCTCCAATATAAAATAAAAAGTTAAAAAAATTACACCTTAATGAATCTGGGGGGGGAAATAAAAAATAATCCACAAGTGGCCTTCATCATTAATTTCTTAAAATAGCAACTCTGCATTTGAGGATAGCAAAAGGATAGCATAATTTAAGAAAGCACACAGCTTTTTTAGCTGCCATTACCTGTTGATCAAAACACCTGAGGCGAATGAAAACTTCCTGTGCAAGAATTGCTTCTGGTGGAGGTATTGGAATGAATGACCATCATCGAGATAGAATTCACCCACAGCAGAACCCTGGAGAGTGAATCACGGATAGAGAATGTGCTTATGTAATAGCTTTCTAGGAAAAGACTGTTGCCTCCCTAAAGGAAATAATAGATTTTAAAATCTATGAAAAATTATGTTGAACAACTGCTTAATATTCAAGCTGTACAAAGCAGTCATACAATATATACACTTACTACACATTTGTGAAATTATATGAATAAACAAGTCACACAAGAGGAGGACAAAGAGTTAGGACTTGTTGAAAGAGATTTAAACTATGAAGTATGGTCAGCGGCATAGGTGGCTTCCCCCAAAATACTATCCTAGAAGGTGACAACAGGTCAAGAAAAGTTCACAGAATAGAAATGAAATTAAAAGAAAAAATTGGTATACAACGTATGAGATCAGCTATCTTTAGAAGAGCCTCCATTTAGAGAACAGTATCTAGTTCCTACTGTCTTTTAGTAGGAGGACCACTTTTGCATGTCAGATAATGTCACAGCACTCCATATGGCAGTTCACTGTTATTGACAATGTTTCATGTGCTATGGACCTCGAGTTTCTTGTAATTATTCCATGGCCTCACATGAGCCCGAGGTCCATAGTTTGACCCAAGAAAACATGCTTAAATGAAATGGATTGAAAAGAAAGATGTAAGAAAAAGAAAGCTTAATTATTTTATAATATTTGCTTAAGGGGCTTCCCTGGTGGCGCAGTGGTTGAGAGTTCGCCTGCCGATGCAGGGGACACGGGTTCGTGCCCCGGTCTGGG